CTGCGCTCGCAAAGTAATAGCAACATTTTATAAACAACTTATTTCCTTAATTGATTGTTAACAATGATTGCGCCGAGGGGGCCGCACACTTCTTTCACACTGCCACAGCAGCTGCAGTTGTTGTTGTTGTTGTTGCTGTTGTTGTTGTTGTATCTATTAACCACGCACTCCATTATTATTTAATAACATATTTCTTAAGTATCTGCCAACCCAGTTCAGAGCACAAAAACGAGGCTGCTGCTGCTGCTGCTGGTGCTGCTGCTGGCATCGCCTGTTGCTTGGCGAACAACTTGACCATAATTTGATGCTGCGGCCTGGCCACGGGACTGGGAGTTGCAGTTGGACTCGTCGTCGTCCAAGTGATTGCCACCCCATTAAAAAAAACGGCTGCGCCTTTGCACTGTTGCTGTTGTTGTTGTTGCTGCTGTTGTTGTTGTTGTTGTCTTGGCTCCTGCCACGATCACTCAATAAGTCTAGACAAAAATGTGGCTGGTGTTGTAGCTCTGATTGTCGCTCGCTTCCCCTCGGCTCCTGCTCTCCTGCTCGCTCCCTCACTCTCAATCGCTGTCCAGATTCGTGGACCCCTGCCACCCGTAATGGATCAGCACGTTTTTGTTGGGCTCTTGTTGTTGTTGTTGCTGTTGTTCCCTCTGAACGTAGCACTGACTACTTCATGCTCCATAGACAACGCTACGTCATCAACGGGCTGCCATCCAAGCATCATATTTGTTGCATGATTATGTGGTAATTGCGGCTGTCAATAAAACTCCCCCGTTTATTCTTTATAACCCAAAGCATTCTACGCCTATATTTTATACACACACACACACACACAGACAGAGATGGAGCTGCGCTATGGCTGCTGTGTGTAGCTTTATCTATCTCTGGGTTTTTGGGGCCGGTTGCCTGTTGCCTGTTGGCCTGTTGGCTGTGTGACTGGCTATAAAAACCCGTCCGGACGGTACCGCACTATGATTTACTTTGACAAAGGAGTGACATACAAGTACTTAAGTGATTTCTTTACACCTTTTATGGAGTAGTTAATGTGGCCATGGTATGCGCGCCTGGCATTGAGCAAAGTCATGCCAAGCGGCTCCCACCACCAGCATCAGCACCACCACTAGCCCACCGTAAGACACCGCCCCATCCCTCTCCCCCTCCCCCCACACACACAACGTTTTGCTATGCTTGTCATTTTGGCACTTAGCGGCATTTAGGCTGCGGCTTTAGCCACATCGCCTCACAGTCTCTCATCTCCATCAGCATCAGCATCAGCTTCAGCTTCAGCTTCATCTCTGTCTGTGCCTTTTGTTGTTTTCTGCCCCTGTCTTCGATTATGGCTGGGAAACGCCTAAAGAACTGCTCAGCATCTCTCACTCTCTCATGCTCCCTCTCTCTCTCCCTCTCTCTCTCTAATCGGGTTTTCGGCTAATGTGATCAATATGTAAATGCCGAGTGCGGCTACTTGATATTTTTTTTTGACACAATACACACGTCTTGGTCCCATTTTTTAATTCTTATCGTTATTTTAATCACACCATTTAAGAAATTATCATAATTAAAACTATGATAATCTATATATAATGAAATATAGAAAGAGCAGCGAAGCGTTCAGGCATTCCATTCTGACAGTTGAAAGTTCAAAATAGATAATAGAGATTAGTTTAGATGATATGAGAATAGATCTATATATACAGAAAAATGTAGTTTGATAGATATTTATTAAATGTGAAATTAAATGAAAATGTGTTATTATATATATATATTTTGTCATACATATATAGAATAGTAATCATTTATGATCTCTAAGATCTCAGATCATAATAATCCAATTTCCATTCCATGTCTAGCTGTAACTCACATTTTCAAGCATTTTCCCTTGATTCACTCCAGTTTCCAGCAACAGTTTCCGTTCCGATTGCACAACTCTTAACCCAGTTAAGAGTAAACTTGATTCCACATGAGCATCAGTGGGGCCAGAGAGCGCGGCTCAATTGCCTGGGCGTTGTCCGTGTGGGCGTGTTGATTACATTATTCAATGGAAGTACCAGTTGCCAGCGCTCGTTGAAATGCATTCAGAGTAGTCGCTCAGACTCCAGGCGGAGGCTTTCAGCGCATCAACGAGCTGCTCAGCTCGAGCTGCGGAACAGTTCATGATTTTTGCAGCTAGGTGTTAATATTGGCACACAACACGCTTCCAAACTGGGGCTTGGAGCGGCAGCCACACTCATGCGTGCAGAGCCAAAGCAACCTGGGAGTTCCACTCGCAGTTGGCGTTGGTGTCACATCTCTTCGTTGTAGATGTTGTTGTTGCTGTTGTTGTTGTTGTTGTTGTTGTCGTAGGTGCGGAAAGTGTTCCATGAGTTTAGGGTGTAGTCAGCATCTGTCTCCCTCTCTCTCTCTTTGTGTGGGCAGCAAATAAAAGCGCTAAAAACACTTAATGGATTTGGAGCATATAAATGGAGTAGAGCCAGAGCCAGAGCCAGAGCCAGAGCTAGGGATCGCAGCAAACAGACTATCAACTGGTAGCTGGGTGCGTCGTCTTCGTCGTCAACGTTGTCTATAGAAGACGTCGCTTAACTGATTTTTGCCAGCTTGTTAGCAAAGAAAAAAAAAGAAAAAAACGCCGCTGGGTGTTGGCCAATCTTTGCAGATCAAATACTGCGCACCTCCCTCTGCCCCTCTCTCACACTCTCTCTCTCTCTCTTTAACTGTCATTTACATGCAAATTCACTGTGTGTTGGTGTGTGTGTGTGTGTGTGTGCAGTCAAGGTGTCAAACAATGTCAGTGGGAGAATGTGTCTCGCAATTGAAATTTATTTGCACTACTATTCAGTGCTGACAATGCGCCAAGGGACGCCCCACCAAGGAGAAGAACAAGAGGCGGGGAGAAGGGGAGGAGTACGTGGCAGCAGTGCCCCAGCGGCTGACTAGATCTCTTGCGCTTGGCGCGTCAACTCGTCAAGCTCGTCTCGGGTCTACGACGGCGATGGCCAAGCCTGCACCCAATGCGCCCCAGAGGCAACTTCTGTCTGCCTCCATTCGAGTCTCTGCTGGCAATCGCTTGGCACAGGCAGCTAACCAAGAGTCGAGCAAGCTCAGCATTTGCAAAATGTCAATCTGCAGCAGCGCATCAATTCAAGTGTGAAATAAATAGAAACGAATTCAGGTCTTATAGCCTATGCCCCGCACCCAACAAGCTCCCTCTCTCTCTCTCTCTGTGTCTATCTCTCTGTCTCGCTCTGTGGAGCATTTGCTATAATTTTCGCGCCATTTGCCGTCGACTCGTCGCCGTCGCGACTGTCAGCCGTTGCCAATGGCACAGCGAAATATGTTGAAAGTATTTACAATTACGCAAAGATTGATTGAAATAGATTTCGGATTGATTGGCTCTCTTGGTATGCACATTGACACAGCTGAAGCTCTGTGCGCTGCGGCTCTGAGAAAAAGATCCGCTCGCTGCTTTGTGTGGGAATTGTTTTCGCTGAACTGCAGTTTGCACTTGCTGACGAGTGTCTGGGGACTGATTCTCAGATAAAAGCAAGAGCAGCAGCAGCAGCAGCAGGAGAAGTAGCAGCAGCAGCAGCAGTAGAGATTCCCTGTTTAATTTCTAGTT